ACTTATTAATTGAAGGTAAACTTATGAAAATGAAAAACTTGCCTAATTTATTTTCATCTAAATATATAAAAGCGAAAGGTTACTCATTAACTCATTGGATAAATACAAAATCTTGAAAACCATTTGAAACAAGAAGAGTAGAAATAGGAAGAAAAACTTAATTAAAACTTAATTAAAGATTGGTTAATTGATTAATACTCATTCCTCTACAGATTACCTTAATGAGGAAGAATTGTTACCGCTTAGTGGTCAGAGCATTGGTGCGTAAAACCAAACGTCCCGAGTTCGATTCCCGGCGGGGGTGTGCAGCGGTAACAATTTTTTCCTCATTGAAGTAATTATTAACCTCTACCAAGTAAAGAAAATAAGTTTTTCATGTGTTCATAGAGAAACTTAACGTCAAGCGAATGAGTGTAAATAGCATCGTAACTACTAAAGGATAAGAAGTTCGTTTGTACGCGGCGCGGTAAAAGGCCGCGCATCAATTTCCGTATTTTCACTTGTCAAACTCAAAACGTAAACAAAATCTTCTCTATCCATATACCGAATGCGTACTTCGTTGCTGCGCAGTGTACGAACCAACACAATTTGGTGGCGCCGTAATTTTAAGTAAGTTCTATATCTACTTTCTACTCCCTATCTCTATTCTTCTTAGGTAAGTCAGCTATGAGCGGATTTTGTAATGGGACCAAATTAATGACTATTGTAGCTTTATATGAAAGTCCTATATTTTTGCTGCTTAAAACATAAGAGAAGTTCTGGCAGATCATAAAAATGTCGCTGATCGTGAAATTAAAATGTAATTGCTTTGCACCACCAATAACGGGCACCACTGTTCAAGTTTGGACGGACCCAGGTAGTTGTCAATATTTCTAAAAAATTCAACTAGAGTTTAAATATTCTCTATATTCTTTTTAGATTGAATTTTTAAGAGAAAAGTTTGTGATTTCCCCGACTTAATGTATGCGTATTCCCGGGCTTCCTGGCCAATTTCTCAAATAAATTGATTTTTAATAAAGAGACGAAACTCGTGTAATTCAAGTTTCATTAATCGGTCAATCAGCGCCTGTTTCACTCTGTCTCTGGTCGGTCACCTTTTGCTGGTACGGAACACGTCCTCGCCCTTGTCATTATACCCTCCAATGACGACGGGATTGCGGCAATACGTACGTAGTGCATGTGTTACCGCTCGGCGGGGGTGGCAGCGGTGTGTCGTTGTTACCGCAGCCACCGCCGCGCTGTTCATCAGCAGTGCGACTACGGCGTCGGCGGCGGCGTTATTGGAGGTGGTGGAGGCAGGCAGTGTGAAAGCAATGGCACACATCTATACAGATACGTACGTAAACGGTATACATCTACACGAATACTATGTAGTCGAGTTATATCGACCGGTTCGCGCGGCGTCGTCGAACGGTGGAACTTTGGGGCGGTGGCGATGGCGGTGAGGTCTAGGCCAAAGACCTGCAGGTCGCGACCTCACCCGTTCGCATATCCACCAACGTCATCGATGGATGGATGGCATGCAACTAGCCACGTAATAATAGTAGTGTCGAATTGTTAGGGGACAGGGGGTGACTCCATCGATAAATTACAAATGTTCGTGTACCATTTTCAAAAAAATTTTGAGCAACCAGGTACATGACAGGGTCAAGTTTATATTTAAATTATTCGAAGCATCTGTTAGTTATGTTATCTTCTAATAGGTTAATTAGTTTTGTAATGAAAAAAGTAAAGTGATTTTTTTATATGAAACTACTTAAATGTATATCCATTAGACTATATATATTGAGCAAAAAGTTACAAATAACAAGACTTATGTTTTGTATACGTTATCTTGTTGAGTTTGAGACTTCTACGGTACTTCTTACTCTGTGTTGCTGTTTTCCCACGATAAACAAAAAAAAAAATTGAAAATTGCTGTCTCTGCACCCTTCAGTATTAAATTACTGTGGTACGAAATAAGATTGCTCAAGGACCGACTTGAGGTTGATTGCATTTTTAATATTTCAATATTAATAATAAATAATTACTGATGTGTCCAACAGAGCCTGTAACTTAGGCAGTTTTGCGAATTTTTGAGTAAAGTATAGTTACGTAAAGAATTTAGCAAAGAATTGAAGATTTCAAAACTGCAGGCAGTTTGAACTTTCATCTTTTTCAAATAGCGGTGGTTAGGCGACCGGCTGACTGCAAACTACGGAGAGTATGAGCCAGACATCTTCGTTTCGTCGATGGTTCGTTTTAGCAGTAGTAAAAACCCCAGGACGACTACAGTCTGAATTAAAAAAAAAAACCATTAAATAATTTAATCAAATAAAGAAAAGGCAAATATATTTTAAAAATATTACTTAATCGGCACTGAAAAAAGAGCAGGCTGCATCATCACCTCTCGTATTTGAGGCAAGCATTATCTCACTCAACCATTCTTCTGATCATCGTAAGGTGGTAGATAGGATGCGATAGTAGTTGTGAACGTTTAGGTAAGTTTATGGTGAAACAGGTTTCCGTGATTGGCATGTATGAAGTACTTTGCAACTTGGGTTTAGGTTAGGTAATGGTGAGAAACTACTACTTGTTTGGCATAAGTAATGTGCTAAACACCAAGGGTTTAGGTTGCATTTTGATATGATTAAAATGTAAATGCAAGTTGCAACATTTTTGTCGAACAACTCGTTTGGCAAGAACTAATGATAGAATTGTTAAAAGTAAAGCATTAAAAAATAATAAACATCGTGTCAATGCACATATCCAGTATTTCATTTTCATGTACTGGGATAAAAAGTTATGTCGTAACTTGTACTGTCTCGTGAGCATTTCTTTCAAACTTTGATAATATGTTGCATTGTATTTTGGTAATTTATTAAATGTGGGGGTTGGGGTGGGGCTATATATTTTCTTCTAATAAGTAACGGTTGGCTGTACTTTAATTTCTTCTGTTGTAACGCATTGCGATGGAATGTATACCCTCAAAAGTACGTAGTTATATGCATGGATGCTTGAAAGTTTGATTAACGGTAGAGGTAATAACGTCGGTATTCTGTAACTTTCTGTCAAAAATAACTGTGCCCACGGGACTTGTTATTATGGTAATGGTGGGAAGCAGTAGAAATTGAAGAAAACACCATCCTGGAAGTATATACAATATGGACGATACCTATTTTCATCGACCATCGACTTTTAAATCCGCTCTACCAGACGATCGAAAACCAAATACCTCAATTTGCCAGCTTAGGCCGAACATTGATCAGTTAAGCTTATTTGAAAGTGGCAACAACACGAACACAATTTCAAATTTTTAATTTTTTAATTGAAAAATTTCAATTGAAATACTATATGTCCATGTCAGAGATTAATATCGAGTTCAAACCTGAAATCTATTTTTCCAATTTCCAACAAAGAACTTCATACAACGGTAAAGTTTGGAAGTTTGATTCTACCATTTCAGGGTCGATTGCTTTTTTATTTTTGAGATTGTCGAGTTTGCCACAAGGTATCGTTTTCATTGTCTATGTCGGACATCGTCGTCGTCGTCTACGGAAAAAAACCTCGACGAATAAAAAGAATACAAAGTCGTCAAAAAGTATGTCACGGTCAGCAAAACTTTAACCTTGCTTTTTATTTTTCTTCTCTTGACTGCTGAACCCACGGATGTCTAGAGACGGAATACAAATTGTGTGATAATATTACGATATTATTGTTATCCATTTCACACAGATCATCCAGGATGGATAAAAATCATGATTTTGAACAAGTCTCAATAATATCTCTACATAGAATGATTAATATAACAGAGCAAAATGTTAATTATTAATGTTTCAATTATGTATAATAAAACAGTTAATTTATTTTCTCAGGTTCAATTGAGGGGTTGTTTTCTTCTTTTGGACTTATTTAATCTAAATTGATTGAAAATTGAGAAAGCTCCAAAACTGGTATTCTCGTTTAATATTACAATGAAATAAATTTTATAATTATAGGTATTAAGTTTTACAGATTCATATAATATTTATTTCTCTCGCTTTATTTCTTACTTCTTTGAAGTTGACGTAGTAAAATTAGCAGGCAAATATATAAACAATCGGACAATTAGCCGCGAAATGCGAAAGCCGAAAACTAAATTGTAAAATCGGTTGGTAAAATCATAAATAACTGAAACTGATCTCATAATTAGCCGCTAATTAACCGCTGACGATGTAGACTTCAAATGAAGTTAGGATGTAAAAATTGTAAAATCCTAGACAACTAGAACCGGATTCATAATTAGCCGCTAATTAACCGCTGAGGATTTAGATTACTAAACAGAGGGTTCAAACCTCCATAATATCGACTGAGATATAGATGATAGTCAGTGGGGATTGAAATTAGCCGTGAAAACCAAAATTTAGTTGCGACCCGGGAAACCCGAAAACTACTTTGCATACTTATATCAAATGTGGTAAATAAAAATACTGTAAAATTAGTTAAGAAAAGCACGGACACTTAGAACCGGGCTAGCCGCTAATACACTGCTGACGATGTAGACTACCAACCAGGGAATTCGAACTTTTTTCAAAATTTGCGTCACTTTTCGATCTTGAGTGAAATTACAGTATTCAGGTTTCCCAATCGCGGTTAATTTTTGGCTTTCACGGCTAATTTGCAAAATGTTCACGAGTTTTAAGACTAATCGGGAGTGCCTACTATAATCTCACTCTTAAGTAGCGGTTGTCGGGTCGTCAAGATGGCCCTATTTTGAAAAAGTATTCCAACCCCCTCATTAGTAGTCTACATCATCAGCGGTTAATTAGCGACTAATTATGAGACCGGTTCTAGTTGTCTAGGATTTTACTAACCGATTTTGATGCTAATTTCATTAACATGATTCAGTTAATCGAAATCACAATTTAAATGAAATGATTTAAGTCTGTTCAACCCTGAAATTATTCGAATTTAAAAATTTTTCGAAAAATTAAAATGTCGCCATAATTTGCAGTATTTAATGTATTGATTCTTTGTTTCAGATCGCCCCAGCAGCCAAGAAACTATGGGGTTTAGAAGGCAAAGATGGCAAGTCTTTGGCCCTCCATCATCTTAATCACCACGATGGGGTTTGGAGGGATTCCACATGGGCTGCACCAGGTACGTTAGCTCATTATTCAGTATGAGGGCGGCTTATAGTGTTACATTATTCTCTTGACATTTTTTCTTTAGGGGGCATCCATTAATTACATGAGCTCAGAATAGGGGGGGAAGGGTTCCAACGAAATCTCACCAAATCTCATTTAAACCTAAGGGGGATAATCGAAAATCGCACGTCAACTTCAAAAGATATCAAATATTACAGATATTAAAAAAATATGGGTAAAGGTCTAGATGACGGCTTCCACCCCCGAAGGGGGGATCGAAAGAGGAGGTCTTCCCCACCACTGTACCATAAAAAGTTCCTGGTGGTCTCACCCCCATAAAAAGTTATGGGGGTTCAAAGTTAATAAATATGCCAATTTTTATACATTTCTTGGCATGTAAATATTTATATAGTCATTCTTAAACAATATTCAAAGGTAAAAC